ATAATACATCATCTGTATATTGTATTGTGTATTCACCACCCCAACTCAATTCTACTTCCATCACCATTTATTCCCCTTATGCCCTCTACTATCACTGCCCCCCCCCCCCCCGCCTTTTCCTTTTGGTAATCACCATGCTATTGTCTGTGTCTATGAGGCTTTTTATTTTTTATTTTTATTAATCCTCACCCGAGGATATTTTTTTCCATTGATTTTTAAAGAGAGTGGAAGTGAGTGGGAGATACAGAGAGAGAGGAACATCAATGTGATAGAGACACATTGTTTGGTTGCCTCCTGCATGCATCCAACTGGGCCCAGGGATTGAATCTGAAACCACAGTACGTGCCCTTGACTAGAAGCGAACCTGTGACCCTTCAGTCTATGGGCTGATGCTCTAACCCAGTGATGGCGAACCTATGACACGCGTGTCAGAGGTGACACATGAACTCATTTTTTTGGTTGATTTTTCTTTGTTAATTGGCATTTAAATATATAAAATAAATATCAAAAATATAAGTCTTTGTTTTACTATGGTTGCAAATATCAAAAAATTTCTATATGTGACACGGCACTAGAGTTAAGTTAGTGTTTTTCTTTTTCTTTTTTTTTTTTTTTATATATTTTATTGATTTCTTACAGAGAGGAAGGGAGAGAGAGAGAAAGTTAGAAACATCGATGAGAGAGAAACATCGATCAGCTGCCTCCTGCACATCTCCTACTGGGGATGTGCCCGCAACCCAGGTACATGCCCTTGACCGGAATCGAACCTGGAACCTTTCAGTCCGCAAGCCGACGCTCTATCCACTGAGCCAAACCGGTTTCGGCAAGTTAGTGTTTTTCAAAATGCTGACACTCCGAGCTCAAAAGGTTTGCCATCACTGCTCTAACCACTGAGCAGCCAACTAGGGCTGGTTTTTGTTTGTTTTTTTTGTTTTTTTTTTTACCACTTGCGACAGCATGGATGAATCTAGAGGGTATTATGCTAAGTGAAGTAAGCCTGTCAGGGAAAGACAAGTGCCAAATGATTTCACTCATGTGTTAAAATCCAATGAACAACATGAACTAACAAACAGAAACAGACCCATAGATAGAGAACAGATTGACAGTTGTCAGAGGGGAGGCGAGTTTCAGGGCAGGGAGAAAATGGTGAAGGGATTAAGCAAAGAGTTTATCTTTTTTTTAAATTGTGCATTTTACTTATCATTAAATCTGGTACTTAGTAGGAAATGAATAAATATTTATTTTAGAGAGAATAAACTAATTCTTTAAAACTCTTAAAAAGATATCAACCCCTTTACTATCATACATTAGTATCTCTTACTCTCTCCCTCTTTTTATTAGCAAATCTCTTCCTTATAATTTATTTACCTTTACAAATAATGGCTCTTCTCACCCTGATATTAGGTAAATAAATACCCACATATTTTCTTTGGGTTTTTATGCAGTGAAAAGTGATTTAAGACATAGTGATTGTCTGCAATTTATTTTCATATAGTTGAGCCAAGGTAAAAAAGGGTAAGTGTGTATGTATGTGTAGAGAGAAAACAAATAAAGTAAAATGTTAACTAGTGAATCTAGATGAAAGATAAATATCTATTATACTCAACTTTCAACTGTTATGTAAATGAAAATTTACAAAATAAGTTGGGTGGGGAAAAGCTCTTTGTCATAAGCTATAAATGAGCTAAACTTGGGGGAGTTTTGATACCCTCCTCATCATACTAAATATCTGTATAATAGTTTATGGGTATAAAACAAGTATTTTGCAGCATTTAAAAATATATACTAGGTCTTCTTCCATGACTGAATAAATTGCCACAAATGTAATATCTAGTTATGGAACTTTTAGCAGAAAGGGATCTTAAAAGCTTATTCATAGGGATATAAAGATGGTTAAACATTTGTAAATCAGTCAATATGATATATCACATTAACAAAATCAAGGATAAAAACCGCATAATCATCTCAAAAGATGCAGCGAAAGCATTTGACAAAATTCAGTATCCTTTTGTGGTAAAAACTTTCAACAAAGTTGGTATAGAAGGAACATAATTCAACATAATAAAGGATATGTATGACAAACCCACAGCTAATATGCTTAATATGAAAACTTCTAAGATCAGGATTCTTAATTCTTAATTCTGTCAAGAATGCCATTGGTATTTTAACAGGGATTGTATTAAATCTGTATATTGCTTTAGGTAGTAATGACATTTTAACAATAGTCATTCTTCCAATCCATGAGCAAGGTACAGTCAAACTTCAGTTCTCAGATTTCTCCCATCTTGAACATTTCAGTTCTCCACCAAGTTGCTCACAGAAAAAAAAGTCTCACTATCACCACTTCTATTCAGCATAGCATTGGAAGCCACAGTAATCAGACAAAACAGGAAATAAAAGGTATCCAAATTTAAAAGGAAGAAGTAAAACTGTCATTATTTGCAGATGACATACTATATATAGAAAACGCTAAAGACTCCACCAAAAAACTGTTAGAAATAATGAATGATTTCAGTAAAGTTACAGGATATAGAATCAACATACAGAAATCTATTGTGTTTTTGTACACTACTAGTGAGTAATATGGAGGAAATAAAGCAGTCCTATTTACAATTCCATCAAAAAGGATAAAATACCTAGTAACAAATTTATCCAAAAAGATGAAATACCTATACTCTGGAAACTATAAGATATTGAAGAAATTGAAGAATAAACAAATAAATGGAAGGGTATACAGTGAAACCTCGGTTCTCGAACTTAATTTGTTCTGGAAGACTTTGAGAAGCAGTTTGTTCAAAAACTGATTTTTTTCCTCATTAGAAATCATGTACATTGAATTAACTCGTTCCAGACCCCCAAATGATTTCTGTTTTATCCTTTCTTATATACAGTATATGTATAATGTACTGTTTAATCTGTAAACAAACACTTCTTTTCTTAACGTGTTAAGTGCCCAGTCAGTCACCAGTGACTGACACTATACTTTCTGTCGGGAAGACAAAACAGGCAGGGCGCTTAACGTGTTTAATTTGTAGAACCATCACTTACTAGCCTTAAATAAATCACTTTCAGCACTCATTCCAGGGGTGCAGCATCTTTGCTTTTTCACATCACTGCTATCACTGGCTAACTGCATTTCACTTATCCAAATCAATAAGTTTTTCTAACTCTTAATTGCCTGTGATCATTGTTTCTTTCACACCCTTAGCAACATCAGCACTCTTGATGGCCTCTTTATGTTTTATTTATTTATTTATTACTTATTTTTTTATTAAATCTTTATTGTTCAGATTATTACAGTTGTTCCTCTTTTTCCCCCCATAGCTATCCTCCACCCGGATCCCACCCCACTCTCTGCCCTTACCCTCCCCCCCCACTGTCCTCATCTATAGGTGTACGATTTTTTTTCCAGTCTCTTCCCGCACCCCCCCACACCCCTTCCCCCCCCGAGAATTGTCAGTCCACTCCCTTTCTATGCCCCTGATTCTATTATATTCATCAGTTTATTCTGTTCATCAGATTATTTATTCACTTGATTTTTAGATTCACTTGTTGATAGATATGTATTTGTTGTTCATAATTTTTATCTTTACCTTTTTCTTCTTCTTCCTCTTCTTAAAGGATACCTTTCAGCATTTCATATAATACTGGTTTGGTGGTGATGAACTCCTTTAGCTTTTTCTTATCTGTGAAGCTCTTTATCTGACCTTCAATTCTGAATGATAGCTTTGCTGGGTAAAGTAATCTTGGTTTTAGGTTCTTGGCATTCATCACTTTGAATATTTCTTGCCATTCCCTTCTGGCCTGCAAAGTTTCTGTTGAGAAATCAGCTGACAGTCATATGGGTACTCCCTTGTAGGTAACTAACTGTTTTTCTCTTGCTGCTTTTAAGATTTTCTCTTTGTCTTTTGCTCTTGGCATTTTAATTATGATGTGTCTTGGTGTGGTCCTCTTTGGATTCCTTTTGTTTGGGGTTCTCTGCGCATCCTGGACTTGTAAGTCTATTTCTTTCACCAGGTAGGGGAAGTTTTCTGCCATTATTTCTTCAAAGAGGTTTTCAATATCTTGCTCTCTCTCTTCTTCTGGCACCCCTATAATTCGGATGTTGGTACGTTTGAAGGTGTCCCAGAGGCTCCTTACACTATCTTCATATTTTTGGATTCTTTTTTCCTTTTGTTTTTCCGGTTGGGTGTTTTTTGCTTCTTCGTATTTCAAATCTTTGACTTGATTCTTGCGGTCCTCTAGTCTGCTGTTGGATCTCTGTATAATATTCTTTATTTCAGTCAGTGTATGCTTAGTTTCTAGTTGCTCCTTTTTCATATCCTCGAGGGTCTCACTAGATTTATCGAGGATCTCACTAAATTTATCGGCGGTTTCTAGAAAATTCTTGAAAAACCTTATAAGTGTGGTTTTGAACTCTATATCCAGTAGTTTGCTTTCCTCCATTTCTGTCATTTGTGACCTGTTTCTTTGTCTCCGCATTTTGGCTGCTTTCCTGTGTTGATAGAGTGGCTTTGTGTGCTAGGTGTCATATATGGCCCAGTAGCTCAGCCTCCCCAATTACCTGAGGTGGACACTCTTGGTGCATCCCTTTGTGGGCTTTGTGCACAGTCTTGTTGTAGTTGAGCCTTGATTGTTGTAGGTATCACTGGGAAGAATTGACCTCCAGGCCCATTGGCTGTGAGAATCAGCTGTGTCTGCGGTGGGAGAACTTCTGTGCTGGAGACAATCTTATGGGGCAAGACTTGCTTCAGTGAGGCTTTGGTGCTCACTGAGTCTGCCCCCTGAGTGTGTCCCTTATGGATCTGAGGAGTTGTAATCTGGATGGTCCCACTCTGACCACTGGGTACACTGGCTCTTGGATCTCTAAGGAGGTGCTAATTTAGCCTCTCCCTGAGGCTACCCAGCAGGAGCTACGAAGAGATCTGCAGATTCTTCTTCTTTGTTTGGAGTTTGGAGGTGCCCAGATGAGGCCCAGCTGTGAAGCAATGCAAGCTGCTGTGGGGCCTTGGGCCTTCTTTTGGAAGATCTGGGTCTCTCTGACCCAGCTGCAGTTTGTTAGGTAATTTTACATTGTAAAGGGCCAGGCCATTCATATGCAAAAGCCTCTGGGCACAGCTTGGGTGGGGTGGGGTCTCAGGGAATCAACAGGGTGGAGCAAACAGCTATGGCTGCTCCTCAGCCCTGCCCTAAGAGGCCCCAGGTCTCAGTGTCCCTCAGTAATTGGTAATCGCTGCAAGCACCTCTGAGAGAAAGCCGCCCTCGAGTTCTACCAGATGCCAGACAGTTCATTTCCTCCCCGTATGAGTCTGGGTCCCCAGAGACTCGCCCGCCTGGAACTGGAGTTCAGAGCAGTCGGGAACTTGAGTCTCCCTTCCGATTGAAAAAGACAACCACGTCCTCAGTTGCCAGCCCTCTCCTCGCTCGCCTCTGTACCTCTGCACTTTACTTCCGCACCTCCTCTGAGTCTCAGTGTGCTTTTCTCTTTCCTTCTAGTTGTAGAATTTCCACTCAGCCAGCCTTCCTGTGGCAGGGACTTCTTTCTATATAAGTCCGCATCCTTCTGGCTTGGAGAGTGCACTTTCCACTGAAGACTGTTTCTACTGCTAGAGCTGAGACTCTGAACCATCCTGGAGCAGAGCACAGTGGAGCAGAGCAGAGCTGCCTAAGTGAAGAGGGACCTGGACCTGGCCCAAAGGCAGCTTCATAGCCTTGCTGTTTTAAAAGTCACACTGTAGCACTATTGAGCTGTTTGCACTAAATAAAGTTTCCTTCTTAACTGCACCCCAGATTGGAGATTCCTGTTCGTGTTGAATTGAAGCCAGTGACCATCATTTGACATTTTAAAATTGACTTTTTCAGTTAAGAGAATCATGACACTACCATTGGCTCTTAGTGAGGAACAAGTTGTTGTTCTCTGCCAAGCTGGAGTGACTCAGTGGTTGAGTGTTGACCTATGAACCAGGAGGTTGTGGGCTAGATCCCCAGTGCGTCGTGCAGGAGGCAGCTGATCAATAATTCTCTCTCATTGATGTTTATATCTCTCCCTCTCTCTTCCTCTCTGAAATTAATTAAAAAGTATATATTAAAAAATAAATTGTTCTTGATTTTCTTCTCTAAAGGATCCTGCATTTGGAGGCAAACATGAAGCTCCATCCTCTCCAATCTCTGGGCAACCATGTGGAGATGATCAAAATGCTTCACCTTCAAAACTTTCAAAGGAAGAGTTAATACAGAGTATGGATCGTGTAGATCGAGAAATTGCTAAAGTGGAGCAGCAGATCCATAAACTGAAAAAGAAGCAAGTAAGTGTTTGATTTTACTGCTTAATGTATTCTAAGAATGAATGTTTGTCTCTTTAAAGAAGATGATGTTGATTTTTCTATACATTTCAAATTTATTCTGTGATTCTGATTTTTTTTGTTGTTTTCTTAGTTTCATTCATTAATTTCCTCAGTTGTATTATTTTATTGTATGCTAATAGCAACCTTATTTATTCATTTTATTTTTGATCTTATTGGATGGATTGTTTTTAATTTTGTTGCTATTTCATATACTAGTGCTATATTTTTTGGTTCACGTGGAAACAGATTTTCTAGGACATGTGCCCAGGAAAGGTATTGCTTGGCCAGAGAGTATGCATATCTTTGCATATACTAGATTATATCAAATTTGCTAAAATGTCAGTACCATTTTACATTCTCAATGGTAGCATGTACAAGTTCCATTTTGTGTATAGCCTTACCTTCATTTGATAATTTTTTTCAGTTGGATGTGAAATAGTTCTCACTGTGGTTTTAATTTGCATTTTGCCTCATCAGGAATGAGATAGAGCTTATTTTCTATTGTTTATGGTATATTTGTGTTCCATATGGGGATTTTTTTCTTTCAATTAGTCATTTTATTATTTCTAGTATTTCCTCAAGTCTCTTGTCATTGATGTGTATAGCAGATAACTTCTGTATTGTGGCTAGTCATTTTTCTTTATTTGTGGTATGTGTGTGTAGGGATTTTTTAATTGAGATAAAAAATTCACATACCATAATAGTGACTCTTTTAAAGTGTATAATCCAGTGGCTTTTAATGTAGTCATAAAGTTGTGCAATTATCACCACAATATAATTCCAGAACATTTTTATTACTTTGAAAAACAACCACATACCTATTAGCAATTACTCTCTATGTCCCCCTTGTCCCTGCTCCTGGCAACCAATAATCTCTTTTGGTCTGTATGGATTTACATATTCTGCACATTTCAGATAAATAGAATCATATAATATGTGACATTTCATTTAGCGTGTTTCTTTCATTTAGTATGTTTCCACTATTTATCCATGCTGTATCTTGTATCAGCAATTCATTTCTTGGTATGGCTGAATAAAATTTTGCACGTATATACTGTTTTGTTTATTCATTCATTAGTTGATGGACATTTGGGTTGTGTTCACTTTTAGCTGTTATGAATAATGTTTCTATAACATTCATGTACAAGTTTTTTTTTGCTTTTTTGAGTGTTAAGAGTAAGATTGCTTCCATTCTGAAAAGGGGATTGATATTTAAATAGAAGATTTCAGTGTGGATTGTTGATGATGCTCAGTATGAACTTTATTTGTCTCTCCTTTATCTCTCTCTTCATTTTTGGGCTCACAATACCAGGACTGTTCAATATGGTTTTTCTCGATTTGCCTGAATTTTTGATTTAATGTCATCTACAAAGCTAGGTCCTTCTGTATTTTAGGAGTTTTTCCCGTTTTATTTTTTAGTCTTTTCCATTCTAGTTTGATATGTATAGGTTTCTTTACTGGAACTCTTTCTTCAGTTTCCTCCTCCTCATTATATTCAATATCTTCATCATTACGTTTTACTTTTATCTGTGGAACCTTGCTACCATTTCTAGGGGTATATCACTTTACAGATTATGTGGGAGTTTGACAGCCTCCTCTTCTTCAAAGATCTTCTGATTCTGCATCTTCCTCCACAGCTGCTGATTGCTGTCCGCTAATATGCACAGGCCCTGAAGCACGTGTAGACCACAGGTGGTGTTATTTCAAAGCCACTAAGGGAAACATTGGTTTGTACAGATGGTTTCAGTTGCCAGTATTACTTAAATTGGACTGTCTTCATAATTCATTGCCTTTTTTTCAACAATGCTCAATTCATCCTTTGCACCAGCACTAAACCATTCTTAAAGATAACTGGTGCCCACTTTCATCATTATCCACTTTAAAGTGATAATCTTTGTTAGTCTTTAGTTCCCCAACTGAAAAGATAGTTCTGGGACCTTAGTGGGCTCATGTCCATTGAATCTTCCATATATAAATGGCTCTCATATTTAAAAAAAAAATCCTCACCCTGAGGACATGTTTATTAATTTTTAGAGAGAGGAAGGGAGAGAAAAAGATAGAAACATTGATCCATTGCTTCCCATATGTGCCCCAACTGGGGATCGAACCTGCAACCTAGGTATGCACCCTGACTGGGAATTGAACCCACAACCTTTTGGTGTATGGGACAACGCTCTAACCAGCTGAGCCACCCACCCAGGGTAGCTCTCACATTTTTATTTTGGAGCCAGAAACGTCACTTTAGCGTACCCCTCTGCCCCCCAAATAAGGTTAAACAATAGAAAAACTTTAAATTATTTGAAAAGTAGCTAGTGCTTACAGGTCAGGCTCTGCAAGATTTTACAAAATAATGTTAAGCCTCAATAAATAAAACAGTGCGATCCCAGTGTATGGAAAACAGAAGGAATCCGCCAGAAAAGTCAGAAATGGACAGAAACCGATTGGGAATTTAATCTATTTAATTAATGAATTTAATGGGTTAATGGTGATGATGGCATCCTCTTAGGTGGGAGAGAATAGGATGGAGATAAATGACTACTGTTCCAGATAATAGCTGGGTGGTAGTCACACCAGGGCCAAAAGTTTTTAATTGTGATGAAGTTGAATTTATTTTATCTTTTACTACTTTTGCTTTTGGTGTCCTATCTAAGAAACCCTTGCATAATCCAAGGTTACAAAGACTTATACCTTTGCTTTCTTTTTTCCTAGGCACAAGCTTTCTTTTTTCCATGTATTGTTAACATTTTCATGTCTAAAATTCTCTTCTATTTATCCTGTTCTTTTTCTCCTTTTTTCCCCTCCTTATGCCTCCAGTTGTTCGACCCGTTTGTTTTGTGTGTTTAGCTTCTTGGTTTCTCATGATCCATAGGCATTCGAACAAAGCACCCAGTAACTTGTTCTGTTTTACCACCGTAATGTCTCTTCCTGTCCATCTGTGAGCACCCCATTCCTTCCTATTTGTCATTCTGGAGCTGTCTGCTTTGACTGGGCATTTTCCTCATTTGCCTGTTGTGAAGGAGTTGCTTAGTTAGTTTTCAGGTCTTTTTCAGAGGAAATTGTTCCATATATAGCTGTAGATTCAGTGTGTCTTTGGGAGGTGGTGAGTTTAGGATCATTGTTGCCATCTTCAACCACTCCTTGCCTGTACCTATGTTTTCTTTTGGGAGTTTTATAGTTTTAGCACTTAATTTAGGTCTTGGAGCTTAATAGTGTTTTTTGGTGAACAGAGTTTCTTTAGATTTTATATGCGACTACCCTGGCATCATTTTATTTTTAAATTTATCTTTATTGTTGAAAGTATTACAGATGTCCCCTTTGTATTTTTTCCCCCATTGACCTCCTCTATCCCACACCTGCCCCTCCCAAGCCACCTTGGCATGATTAAAATAGTTTACTATATTATAGTCTTTTGAAAAGTTTTATAGTTAATGCTTTTCACATTCTTTTTCTTAAATTTATAGGAGTGGTATTGGTTAATAACATACAAATTTAAATGTACAGCTTTATATATTGCAGTGTGTACTCACCATCCACAGTCAAGTCTCCCTTTGTATCTATCTATCTATCTATCTATCTATCTATCTATCTCTATATATCTTTTTAAATTCTCACCCTTGGATATGTTTAGAGGGAGGGAGGGGGAGAGAGAGAGAGAGATGAGAAAGCAAACATCAATTGGTTGCCTCCTGTACGCACCCTGACTGGGGATTGAACCTGAAACCTAGGTATGTGCCCTGACCGGGAATCGAATCCCCAACCTTTTGTTGCATGGGACTGTGTTCCAACTGAGCCACCTGGCCATACATTTTAGAAGTTTTTTGCTTACTCTTCCAATTTCCTTACTGTTAACTGGTCTATTTAGGTTTTCCAATTCTTCATGATTCAATCTAGGAAACTTATTTATTTCTAAGAACTTGTTCATTTCTTCTAAGGTATTGAATTTGGTGGTGTATATACTTTCATAGTATTGTTATATAGTCCTTTGTATATCTGTGGAGTCCATTTTAACTTCTTTTTCATTTCTGACTTTGTTTATGTGAGTCTTTCCTCTTTCTTTTCTTAGTGAGTCTAGCCAGGAGTTTGTCAATTTTATTAATTTTTTTCAAAGAACCAGCTCTTGTTTGATTAAATTTTTATTGTCTTTTGTTCTTTATTTTATTTCATTCTGTTCTAAATTTAATTATTTTTTTCTTTCTACTGACTTTGGGCTTCATTTATTCTTTTTCTAATTCTTAAAGGTGAAATATTAGGTTTTTTAGTTGCAATTTTTGTTTCTTGAGGTAGGCTGTAGAGTAATGCTATAACTCCCCCACATTTTGATATGTCTGTTGTGATTCTCATTCATTTCTCTGTATCATTTTTTTGGTTAATCCTCTCCCGAGGATATTTTTTCCATTGACATATTTTTTTTAATATATATTTTTTATTGATTTTTTACAG